TATGTGTACACCCTCGAGAGATCATCTTCAAGATCTTGGTGTTCTTTAACAGGCCTTCGAGATCGTAAGGTCGAATCTTGCTCAAGCTTTTCATAAGCAGAAACGATACTATGACGAGAGACGTCCTGACTGGTTACCGAGGGTAGGGGATAGTGTGTCGAAAAGAGAACATACCCTATCATCCGCGATTGAGGGCATTTCAGCCAAATTAACGCCGAAATTCTCAGGTAAATTCACTGTAACACGGATATTAAGTCCGAAACTTCTAATGATTGTTGATGACGATGGTAAAACTTAGCGTGTTCACGTCAAGGACGTTAAACCTTGGAGAAACGGCTCAACCAGCGTTAACTGAACCAATATGTAAATGCATATATATGTTAATGTACTTGCAACTGCTTGCACTCTGAAGTCTTATTCACTTATATTTTATACACATTTTTTTTTAAAACGATTTATCTATTGTCACTTATACATTGTATTTCTATGCTTGTTTTTTCTGTTACGGAGCTGGTTGCATGTTTTTTTTTGCTTCTTCTGTTTAGATTGCCAACTGCACCGTACTCAAGTTCATCATCTTCCTATTCCTCCACTGCATTTCCGTTTCCTGCCGTGCGTTAAACAATGGACGCACCCTATAGCCCGAAACCTTTCGAGGGAGAAACTGCTTGTCCTTCTGCAACAAAGCTAATATTTAATTATATTCCCACTCCCATAGTACTATTGGAGAGGGTGAATCTGCCGGTAGCTGAGGGCCAAGAAAGGCGAGAACCAACGAGTCCTGAGGGAGGAGAGTCTACTCCAATAATAGAACTCCTCAAGAAAAGAAAGAAAATCGCTCATAGACAACCAGAACCGGATATTCAAGCCGTTACTCCGTCTAGAGTGGAAACTGATGTAGTTCCGGTAGTGGAACTAACCGACTCACCTTATAAACAGACTAACCTAAGAAGGCTAATTAGGACGAGACCGTCATCTAAGAAGAAACCGTTCGATTTATTTTACCTTGAGCCCTGTGGTCCTCCACCGTCTAAGCGCAAGTCGACTAAGGAAACTCCGGTTACCCTACCAGCAGCCCAGAAAGTTTCACTTTCACCAGTTCACCAACAGATCGAGTTACCGCCTTTTGAAGATCCAGCCTTTATGGAATCTTGGACTTATTCAGTACCAGAAAAGTCTAGTCTGTTCCCGAAAGTATCCGCTAAAGATAACTCTCCTGCGCGAACCGTAACATCAACTGTCACCTCGTCCGGCACCAGTTTCGCTCATGCTGCACCTATTGTACCTGGTGTGGCATGTAAGCCTGCTTCTACTTCCGGATCCAGCACTGTTGTTAAGGTACCGATATCATCGACATCAAGGGAGAAGCTGGAACCCTCACCTACTGTTCCTCCGCTATCTGTCATGTTAGTCTCCGTGCACGACACTGAAATGGAGGTCGTGTCCTCATCAACATCATCCTCTGACGCAACAGCAATAAGACCATTACCACAGATGGAGTGGTATAAGCCTGTACCAGCGGAGATAGAGTACCAAATACATGAACATAGATACCCTCTACGTTTCCGTGATCCGCGGGGCGTCAAAGATTAAATTCAATTCAATGATTAAATTTGGGGGTCGCCCCTCCGAAAGACTTCATTCGAAAACTGACGCAAGAGAAGAGAAGGAAGCAAAATCTAGTAGTATCATACCTAGTCGAATATAACCAACCCTACAAGGAGGGTGTCCCAAAAAGAAGCTTGGATTTCAGTGTAGTGGTTTACATCATGCACGAGTTCAACCTGAAATTATTTTTACCGTACAAGACACCGAGGGAATTGTTCCCCGAGCGCGAAAAGGCATTGGAACTGTGCGGGGTCAAGGACCTGAAAAACCATGGGTTCATCTGGGAGGAAACGAAATAAGAAGATAACATCGAAGCCCTGTCTACGAATTATCCTAGTCTTTTAGTTTTTGTTTGATGTAAACATAAGAAAAAAAAAAAGAAAGAAATCTAGTTCTTCCTTTTTTTAAGAAAGGAGGAGATGTGAGGGTTGACTCACAAAACCGACAGTATTGGAGCGTAATGAGAGAATTTAGTTCTAGTCTCTATACGTGTGGGTTAGATCATGTTGAGCCACTAGGTGGCAACGGAAAATCCGTAACGCGCACTTTATGCAGGCAAATAATTTTATATATTGGAAAATTTGGTGCAACACAGCATCGTATCTGCCAGGCAAGCCTGTGTGAGCATTTCACCTACTTGACCGGATTTAAGGTGAGTGAGCATTTCACCTCTCCGTCATCTTACTAGGGTCTGTGTGGGTGTGAAACGCGACATAAAAGCCGTCTGTGTCTGTGATCGCGAGAAACGCGAAGTATTATTATTGTGATCTGGGTTAAAAACCGAAGTACTCTCGTTAAAATTACTGTATTTTTATAATAATTGTAACCACATCTAGCTACTTATTTTGTTTGTATTTTACACAGGTAAAAGACTTGTATTGGTTTAAAGGTATTTATCATTGTACGGAACCATTGTAAATAAAATCATCATTATCATTATTATTCCTCTAAGCCGCCGTTTAGGGCGGGACTATAACGTTAATTTAAAATACTGATCTACAGGGAGGTTCGATAAAAGAACCATTTATTTACCGACTCGCCATAAATAAAATCAAGCCAACCACCGGTTAATATTATTTCTAGTTTACCGACTGATCAAAGTCCGCATAATTAGCGGCAAAATTCAAATCTCTGTAAATACGTTGTTTGTGTGTGTGTGTGATCACAAAATAAATAAAAATTTTCATTAATTCTTAGTAAAATTACTAATTATTAATTTAGAAATTTAAATTATCAATTACTTTTGTATTTAGTAATTTGGTAAAAAAAATTTCAAATTACTCCGTTAATTTGTAATTGAATCTAAGAAATTACAAATTACATTATCAATTGATAATTTTAAAAATAAAATTATAAATTAACACTGTAATTGATAATTTTATTTTCGATATTATCCATTACAGAAGTAATTGATAATTTCGCCCTATACTACTACAAAGAAAAAAATTAATGCTGAACCCTGACTCGGACACAACTTCTAGGGCTGCTCGGAGTCTCTTAGGACTTGCCGCGTACACTTTCAAGTTATCCATATAAAATAGATTGACATAGAGTGACAGACAATAACAACAGTAACATGCAAAATCGCAGAGGACTTAGGGTATTTCCCTGGTATACACCTCTCCTTAATGGCACTGCTTTGGTGGACACTCTTGCTCTACCAGTTGTTACGGTGAAACGTGTCCTCCAAAGCGGCATCAGATGTTCGATGCATCTCATTCTTTGTGGGGGTACTGAAAGGCATTCGAACAAGTAGAGGAGAAGCTCGTGAGATGTAGTATCAAATACCTTCCTGTAATCTACCCAGGCCATTGACAAATTGCGTTTGAAGTAGTATGTGTCCATTGTAACGCACCGGTCTACCAACAAGTTTTCCTTGCAACCTGTCAAGCCACGTTCGCTGCCATGCTGTTTGTTTATCTGTCTTTATATAAGTTCTATTGCAGTCAGAATCCTCTCGTTCAAGATCTTAGTGAACAATTTGTAGAGAGTATTCAGATATGCAATTGACTTGTAGTTTTTAGGGTTAGACAGATCACCACTTTTGGGGATCAGCACAGTACGCCCTTCAACAAGCCATCCAGGAATGAGCATATTTCCTCGATATTCCGAGAAGATACGAGCCAGATGCTGGTGAGATGATGTCAATTTCTTCCACCTGAAGGTTGGGATTGCATCTGGCCCAGTTCTTTGTGCCCCTAAGAGCATTTCTGATCTCATCAATGCTGATTCGTTGGAATTCTTCAAGAATTCGTGATAGATATTCCGGAGGAAATTACCCTCTTTGTTTGTAAAGTCCTGTAGATTGTCACCCTCAGGGAAAGGAGATGGAAATTCTGCAGTGAGAGAAGGGTGGAACGGAAGTATGCTCCACCTCAGTGCGGCTGTCTTGGGTGTCAATGAGATTTCGTCCTCAGTCTCTGAAACGTCTGGTATTAAAGAATCAGAGTCTGACTCCTCTTTTATCCACTGTCAAGACTGAGTATACCGCACCTGTGATCAGAGCGCCGCCTGCGTTAGCTGTTGTAACTCTGGGTAAATTTCGCACGACAGAGTATGCAGGCACCTGGCATAGCCGGAGGTCTGTGGTTCACATCTTTCTCAGCACTGCATCTGTTCCCCAGCTCCTCTGTCCACCTGAGATGCTGTAGCGATGGTCCATGGTCGAGTACCGGATTGAAACATTGTTTAAATACGTAGCATAAAAATCGAGTGTGTAGCTAGTATCAGGTTTTCCAGAAAGATGAGCTCGAGGACTGCAAGAACATACTCGTTTCATCACACTGACAGATAAATATTGAGAAATTTGACTTCTTTTTCTACATGTTCTATCATCAATTTCTTCCAAGTTTTTGTGGATACTGTTGAGCGCTGTCGAGTGACAATTCATTTCCTTCGAGACTTAGTTTAGCTGTGCTTCACTTAAACTGTTAAAGAAAATAGCCATTATTAGATGTACTTTTAATCAATAAAAATTAGAAACTTTAATAAACATAAAGATATATAATTTAGGCTGGTAACTAAAGAACTTCTCTACCTTTCTGTATAGCTAGAAGGAATTTATTCACAACAGAGTGTGCTTCATACAAAAGGCGCTTCCCAACGCCCAATGGAGACATGTTCCAGGAGAAGAGAATCCTGCTGATTGTGCCTCAAGAGGTATCAGCTCTGTCGAACTAACAACTCATCCACTCTGGTGGAACGCACCATCTTGACTCCGTGAACATCCATCTACTTAGCCAGTCATCTCATTGAAAAAGCATCACATTCATGATGAACTAGAACAACGAACTCCACCAGCTCCAATCGTTCTCCATACAGTCGTTTCATCACCACGTTGGGATTTGCCACATCAATACTCCTCTTTTAACCGGCTGATCAGGATCACTGCAATGTGCCGGAGAGTCATTCATCGCTTCAAGAAAACTTTGACTATTCCATTTACCTCTACAATCACTCCAGAAAAACGAGACGACGCTATCAAATACTGGGTCAGAGTAACCCAGCAATATAAGTTCATGACTGAGCTTTCACTGCTCCGAAGATCCATAGCTCTGACGAAATCTCATCCCTTGGTCAAGCTGCTTCCATTTATCGACAACCAAAGACTCCTCCGCATCGGTGGACAACTCCGCAATTCACTACTTCCCATGAACTCAAAACATCCCTATATTCTACCAGCCAACTCACGATTGTCTCTACTAATTATTCGCGATGCTCATGAGCAAACGTTGCATGGGTCTACTCAAAAGACCCTAGCTTTCATTCGTCAAACGTTTTGGATAATAGGAGGCCGTAGTCCAATTAGATCATTCATCAGGAAATGCCCACGATGCATCCGCTACAGAGCTCAAGCAGCATCGCACATCATGGGCCAACTTCCCACCAGCAGAGTCACACCAGGTCGAGCCTTCTTACACACAGGGATCGATTACGCTGGACCGTTTATTGTTAAGACATGGAGAGGCCGAGCAGCAAAAACATATAAAGCTTGGGTTTCGCTGTTTATCTGCATGTCCACCTCAGCAATACATCTTAAATTAGTCACTGACTACTCCACAGAAGCCTTCATCGCAGCCTACAAGCGGTTTACAGCTAGGCGTGGGATCTGCGCCACTTTGTCCAGTGACTGCGGAACGAACTTTAAAGGAGCGGATGCACACTTGCGACAGTTCTTTGACCAACAATCCAAAGAGTTAAATCAAATTTCTTCAATTCTATCCAACAGCGGAACCAAGTGGATTTTCAACCCTCCATCATCCCCACATTTTGGTGGAAAGTGGGAAGCTGGGGTGAAGTCCATGAAGTACCACCTTCCACGAATTGTCGGTGACACTCAGTTGACATACGAAGAGCTCTCAACAGTTTTATGTCAAATCGAAGGAATTCTTAATTCTCGGCCTCTATGTCCACTCACGGATGATCCCAACGACCTCGAGGTCCTTACTCCTGGACACTTCCTCGTAGGTCACTCGCTAAACCTGATACCAGAGCCAAATGTTCAATATCTCAAAACATCAAGATTATCTCGGTGGCAACATCTCTGCTACATGACCCAGAGTTTTTGGGAAAAATGGTCGAAAGAATATCTACAAAGATTTTCAGCTACGTATAAATGGAAACAAGCTACACCAACCATTCAAGAAGGAAGTCCTATCATTATAACGGACGAACGATATCCCCCAGCCAAATGGGCACTTGGGCGAGTCCTAAAGTTACATCACGGCTCAGACGGAGTCGCTAGAGTTGCGACGATAAAAACGAGTACATCGACGCTGACCCGGCCACTTGTAAAACTCTGCCCGTTAGACATCACCTCAGAGAGCTGTTCGTCGCCGGAGCCAACGAAGGCGGGCGGGAATGTTTAAAATATAAAATCGGCCCGTCTATAGAGGTAAGAGCACTCTCCAGATAACAAATTTCCCCATAAGCCAAAACACCCTCAAACAATAAACACTCTCCACATCTGGAGTTTTTCCACCCTACCCTCTACTCCCTCTCTAGGGCCCTTTTTTCTCCCTCCAAACAACAAGGGAAATCCTTTTTCCTGCAAAAAAGGGCGAACTCAACCAGTTCTTGTTCGGTGCCTGTCTGGAGCAGCTCGATTGCTCTGGCAGATGTGGTTTTCGTGTCTTTGTAGTCAGTACTGTGTTTGTGTGATATGCTGAATTAAAAAGCATTGCTATTTCTCATCAAATGACCTCCTACAGCACAAGTACCATCACTAGCGGTGAGTTCACCTCCTGGACTCTCCATCAAGAAGTCTCCGCCAGAATTTCTCTTACATTGAGTTGATGTCTATCCCAGGACACTTCTTTCTGTCTAAGGTCTCCGCTAAAGACATATTCCTGACTCGCTAAGTCAAATGATCCGCTAGATCAACTCTTCTAACTTCCGACAAGCTTCCAGCTTCCAATCTGGAAGACATCATTTAAGCTAGTTTGTCTTGCTAAGATACCCCTATTTTATTCAACATTCCAGTGCTCTCGTTAAGGATTGCTGACGACCAGGTCGATCACCCTCCTCTACGTGGATCGTGGCCGTAGACGTGCCTCTTGCAGCTCGCAGACGTGAAGAAGTCCCAGTCAACACCTTGCCTGTTTCCAGCGAACTGAACTGTGATAACTTCTTGTGCTGTGACTGTACTAACTCTAATGCAAATAAATTATCATCGTGGAAAATAACTGCTCATTAACTGATCCAGCCTCATTCATAGTACTCTTATTTTTTAACATAAGTGATTTCGGTTTTAATACATGATTCAATTCTTCTCATTTTGTACTTTAAATGTTTTCTCAGATATTAATAAAAAGTTTATAATTGTCATAACTTTACAACCAATATCTATTATTCTACTCTACACTTCATGATTTACACTCGTTTTGTAAACACGTACAATTGTAGTTAACTATATTGTTCACGGTACTAAGCTTCATTCTTACTTATCATCAGTAATAACCTTTTTTTTCCAAGCACACCATCTGCTTCTTTTTATTTATATGAATTTTGGCGTTAAAAGCTACATACAGATAGGTTCTGTTCCTTAAATTAACAATTAAACATTATTCAATTCGTCCTGCCCTACTGCTAGCGTAGCAAATGCTGTTCCTGTTCCTCAAATTAACATTTTATTTTAAATTTCACTCGATTTATTCCTTTGATCTTCTGAATTTCGAAAAAAAAAATTAACATTTAAGTACATTCTTATATATCCTGTGTAATAACTATACATCTTTAATCAAAGAACATGATACATTTTCTATCTTATTCGATTCTTCGGGATAAGATATGACTCTTAAAAATTACGCATTGTTTATAACTATTTCGATTTGTTATAAACAATTACTAATAGGAAGTTCGTCGTGTTAGCATAGACAAAGTGTGCTCAGACCCATTTTATATTTATTGATACCATATTTTTAATTTGTTTACGCATTAAATTGTTTTTCAATGAGTGCTAACGCCATCTCTTATCTTGTTATACGGAATTCAATGTAACAAATATAAACAGAAATTTCCTCTGGTGACACCTTATGATGATGTATTTCAATCACAAATGTCGGTAAAACTCTAAAAATGGTTATTGATTTTATCTCCTAGCCACTTCGAATTTTCAAACTGAAAATTTCATCATTTATTTATGCTAAAGTGCATAAAATTATATATTAAAATTTGCATCTTGTTGGCGCATATCGCCTGACACTCATCATTTTCCGAATTTCATGGTCATTCAGTTGTATTTCTATGTTTTATGGTGCAGTTACCTACCTCCCAGCATTTCGCAGATAAAATACAGAGACCTATTTCTAAACAATTATATTTCACAAAAAATCGCAGTGTCAGGCGATGCATAATATCAATCTAAATATTCATCTGTAATTTCATCTATTTCTAAACAGTCTAAATATTGAAATTTTCTGTTTGAAAAATTATAGCTCTGTCGGTAACTTCAATAGCCTATTAAACCTCTATCATGTTTCGTCTTTACCTACTGACAACAAATTTAGTCTGACCATAACTTCCTTTTCTACGGTTGTTTTATAGCATTCAAATAGTTGTCTCCTTACAAAGTTAAGGTTTACATTACAGTTTTTTTATGAATAAATAAAAATAAAGCAACAGATGAAATTTTTGTACAACATGTATAAACGTATAGAATATCTAAGATCTCAGAACACAGTAAATCAGATGTAATTAACACCCTGTGATAAAGTACTCACATGTGCCTTACTATTCGTATAGTCATTTGAAGATATTAATACTTATGCTATGCGTAATATTTCATGTTCCAAATGATCACAAGCTGTTTATTTCCATTTCAATATTTGTATTTATTTTGAAAAAATTCGTTTGATTGATATGCCGTATATAATAATGATCTTGATTATATTTCATATGTTTAAAAATATGAATTAAAATGTTTATTAAATGATAATATTCCAGCAAATTGAAGAGATGAAGGTTAGTTGTCCACACTGCGTTGAAACGGCCAAATCGACGAGGACTGCATCCCTTGTGGCTTTTTCTTTCTCTTCTTTTTCTAACTCATTCTTGTGCGTATTCTCTCTCAGCCGAGTCGATCGAGTGCTCCACCCCCTGTTCCACAACCTTGGCCCGAATCCCGAGACAGCTGAACCAGGCCGCGTAACCCGCTTCCCTCAATGTTTAATCGAGCACCAAGATCAAAGTTACAATTTGCAAAAGAAATAAAAATATCCTAGCACATCATGATTATCAATAGTGATAATCATTGTAATAATTCCAATAATATAAAGAAAGTATATTAATATACTTTTATTAATTTATTTTTTCTGAAGAAGATTTTATGAAAAAAGTTACATCCAATAAATAATAACGTAATAGCAAAAAATTTTTCGTGTATTATTAAATAATTTTATTTGAATAAAAAATATAAAATGTTCACTTTGAATGATAAATTATGTCTGTATTGTGTCAAATAAAAGATTACTTCAATAAAATATATGAAATGAAATTTTCCATAAAGTCTCTAATCATAGAAATTTTTGTTTGGAGATAATATTTATTTTTATGATATATTGTTTGAGTAAACGAAAGATGATTGTAAAATAATTTTGAAACAATATAAAGTCAGGTAAACCAAGTGAATACAATAGATAATTTTAGCGAAGTAATTTTGTTAAGGTGGCTACAGTAGGTTGATTGAGTGATAATGAACGATGATCCCATGACATTCATAGCATTCTAATTAAATGCTGAATATAACTGAGCAAGAGGAAGTACACGATCATAAACACTATGAGATATCATTTGGAGTCGGATAACAACGTCTTAACATTGACAATTATTCAGGAGAATTAATTTGCGCTGAAGTATCCGGAGTGTGTCCAAGGGCATCAGTAACCGTGACCCAAATAATTAACGGGGAATTAGGAAAATCTAGTGGGAAGCTGGTTAGTTGCGGGAGGAAGGTATTGATGCAGACCGAGGGGTTTAAATGGTTTGACAGGAGTCTGAGAGAGATGGTAAGAGAGTAAAAGGGGTGAAGAGAAGGGTGTGCAACCCCTAGCTAAAGCTATACCTGCAGCCCAGCCCTATAATATCCAGGCAGGCGGCAGGCCTATACCCTGGGCAAGCTTGCGCCTGCGTCTTTGTGCTGACGAGCAAACGGCATCCAGAAGGAATCAGCGGTGGGAGGTCCTCCTGTTATCCTGTAAACAGGATCCCACTTCTCCACCAGCACAACTGCTTCGCTGGCGTCGTCGTCGTCATCGTCGTCGCATCTTCCTCCTCCTCACGTTCTCATTCTCGTTCTCGCTTGTTTCACGTCCTCATCCACCAACATATCTGTCCGTTACTCGAGGACACCAAAACGTAATTACGTCAGTTGATCGCCGGTCTTCCTCATCGTCACATCGTGGATACTCCACGTTGTTAGTGTTATTCTCATTCACTTGGTAATTTCAACGCCAAACAACATCAACTATTTTCAAACTATTTTGCTAATACTCATTTATCACATTTCTTTTCTCTTTATTTTATTTAGAATATAAGAAAAACGATGGTTAAAGAGGGTGAAGAAGCTTGACTCGATTTCAAAGAACTACTTCTGCAACAGGTGAGATTGTTTTTTTTTTCATAAGTATCTATGTAATGTTTACACTTTTTTGTTGTATATTTTATTATTAGATAATACTTTTTCACACACTTGTTATCATTTTACTTATCTTCTTGGTTGTAACTGAAGTTGAATAAAGATTAGGTCGTGATGAATCGACGGGTTAGAAAACAAGAGAAGCGCACCCTCCTATCTTACGCTCGCTATAAGAATAAAAAATTCTATTCTTATCAGAACAAGATTGCATATTTTCTATTTGTCGTCTTATTTAAATCCTTGAACATTTATTTTCATTTCTCACTTGAAACGAAACGTTTATTTAACCGATAAAATCTCTCGCATTTGTCACGTGAGTGAATAGAAGGAAAGAAAAATGGTCATGACTGTATGATTACAAAAATGAACAAATTGTATTATTAATCATCGGGTTTAATCGATAATGATATACGTGTGAATGCTTTTCTACTCAATAGGGGCTAAAGACTATTTCGTTTTCATTATTTTCCTTTCATTTCATTTTCATCTTTCGCCGTCTTGTTCTTTCAACTCGCCTCAGCATTCAATATTTAATTATCTGATTAATTAATGATTAAGGTAAAGCTTGTAGAGTGGCATTTTAAATTTGCATGAATTTTTGGCAGCCAATTTTTCATCTCCCCATTATCTCCTCACTTTAATCCTCTGTGGGATAACATCTCGTCTAATTTCGTCTTTCACTCAGTTTCAATATTTCAATGGTAATATAAATACCATAGAATTAAAATATAGAGATTTTTTTCATTCAAACAAATATTAATTTAAAAAATTGAAATCAACGGTTTGAATCAATCTTTGTAATTATTTATAATTGTTAGCAATTAGAAAGATTTTAAATAGATGGAAAAGATTTCTTTTTATTATTATTACAAACAATAATGATACTTAAGCAACTATTTTTTTTCTATTTGTAATAAACTAACTTATAAACTAACAACTATGTGTTGTTCATTGTAAATGGAGATTGAATTTATTTAGTGATCAAGTTAATTTAAATAATTAAGTTTAGAACATTCCTGAACAAACATTTGAAGTAGAGCTACTAAAAACACTTAATACGACATAAGTACTCTAAGTATTATCACTTAAATAATTCCAAGAATAAGCATGCATTCAATCGGGAATCATTTTTGAACTATCACATAAAATTACACCTTTTAGGATAATAATATTATTAATATTACAAAATAAAATCACTTTAACGAAAATGGTATTTAAATATATATATAAGAACATTTATTTCAGAATATGTTATAATTAAAATAACTTGTGTCGATAAATTCTAAAGGAGGGTGTAAGTATGAGTGTGGGGTAATAACAAATGTGGGGTTCTTGATGTTATATGTTAGATATATGTGTTAGAGATGAATAAATGAATTTGATGAAAAAATATTCATATGAGATGTGGTAGAAAAATATGCTGTTGAGAGAGACATAGAATTTGAAATTAAAATATGCGAGAAGAATAAATATTGACACATTCTGTGTTTCGAGAAGAACGAAAAAACCAAATAAATTAACAATCTACCTAACAGATATAATTAATCGACAGTTAAAAAGTAAACCAGCATTTAGTTGATTATCGAATAGTTTTAGAGTTTTGTGACTACTTAGTGTAACAATTCATTTTTCCAATTAATTTTTTTGAATTGAATTTAATTTGTATTTACATTGTCTCTGCATGCATAAATTTAGTTGTTTTGAGAGAAATAAATTTATTATTGAAATTTTATTAGCGTTGAATATGATTATTGGGAATTAATAAATTTCTGCTTGATTTCGAATTATTCATTTCATTTCAATTTTGTCCGCTATAATATAAATTTTAGCAATACATGAATTTTTTAAAATTATTATTATTTTTAATTGTTTATTTGACTTTAACAATAAAAAACGTTTTTAATCAATATATTTCTAGATTTGTTATAAATGATGTTGAACTTTTACTATAGAAAAATAAATAAATGAAGTTAATTAACTTTTAAATGACTTATAAAGTTCAAGAAACTTGACATAGAATGTATTCTCATTTATTTAAGTTTGGTAACTCGATTATAAAAATTAGGCATAAAAAAGACCGTTAATGTGACTAATTTATTTCTTTAGTAATTTTTAAACAAACGTTTTTCGATTAACACAGACATTTACTTTTTGTCATTGTATGCAAAAGTTCAAATAGTTGTAGAGCAATTAAAAAATTTATTTAAAAAATTAATCATGTCTTAAAATTGGCTTTAAAAGTTTGAAACTTAGTAATCAAGTTTGTTGAAGATCTTTCTACCCACTGTACGTTAAATCAGCACCCCGCTCAAACATGTAGGAACAGTAAAGTCTTCTCAAAACGAATCTTTCATTTCAGATTATTCATTCAATTATGAATTTTTAAGATCAAACACTAATTTATGTTGAATAAAAATCAACACCTAAATTGGTATTCTTATATTAACTTAATTCCTAAAAATAATCAGCTCTTAATCAAGTTTATGTTCATCAACATTTTTCTAAATAGGCTTAATTAGTACATCGCATCTAATCTAATCCTATTTCAGCATCAAAGTAGTACCTCTGTTGATACAGTAAATTGATCGGTTGCATCCAAAATGCACTAATATTACTCATCATAGCCAAATATATATTAAATCAATGTTTTTAACATATTGACAGAGACTGCTTCAATATGCTTCAAAACTCTAGTTATTCTCTCAATTACTGAATACAATTGTCTTGACATCTCTCAGATTATAAAAATGGGATCAATAAATTCTATTCAATATTATTGAAAGTTTTGAAAATTATTTTGTTTAAGAAACCATTTCTTGTAATTGCTTATCAGAAGTTTTAAATTTCTGAAAACTTGAATATTATAAAATAACTTTTAAGTACAAACAATAAATAAAATTTTAATGATTAAGAGTGCCCTTCATTTTTGTTTATCAGAAAATAAATGAGTAGTTTATTTCAAAAATAATTATTTGGAAATTCTATGAATCTAAGAACGTTAGACCCTATTATCAAAGTTATTGATTTCTAACGTTGAATTATCAACAAACATTTAGGTGTATCTCAAAAGAAAGGGTTGATGCGTTTTGATTTCACTTGAGAGTCAGAGTAATATCCCTGAAAATTGTTCCTATTGGTATACTATAGAAAACAAGAGAATACGAAATAAAGGAAGGAAAGACGGAAGGAAGGAAGGAAGGAAGGAAAAAGTAAGATATTCCTTTTCTCAAGTGACTGATAGAGAGCAGAAGACGTGAACAAGGAAACGAGAATAAAACGACATAGATTGTCCACATTTCGAGGAGTTTTCATGGTAAAAAAGGTAGTCGTTGAAGAGTATATTGCAGGGTATGAGATAGGAATATTTTCCATCAACATCATCTTTGCTAAAGAAAAAATCACATTCAAGGACATTTTTCATTTTTTTAAAAATATTTTGCTGTCTTTATATATAAAAACAAATGGATTCTTTATTTTTATCTAATTCCGTTTTTCTTAATTCTCATTAACAAATCATTTGAATGAGTTAACCTTTTTTAATTGATTTCTTGTGTTTAATAATTTATCTTTTTATTGAATAGAAAAAAAAGATTTATTACTAATTGGTATTTCGATTGAGGTATTCGAATAATAGAATAATTTTTCATGTATAATGAATTTATTTTCATTCTGTTAAAATATCAGAGCTGAAGCAGAGAAATATGAATTATAAAATAATGTTCAATTATTTAAAAAATTGAACTTTAAATTATATAAATTAAAATGTAATTTATTGAATAACTCTGAAAATAACTATAATTTATCATGAAAATTCATTTTTAATTGAATTGAATAAAATTCAATTTGAAAATACCATTGATAATATTTCCTATAATTATGCATTATTATATTGTCAGAAAATTTTAGGTCAAAGTTACTTAGAAGAATATGAATCGTTGAAGCATCTCTATGTCATTGAACACATATGCTTTCTACCTATTACAAAAAACTCCAACCTCAAGAGATTATAAGTCTTATTCGATCATACAATAGTTAATAGATTTTATTCTTCGTTTCATAAAATTTATAAGGTATATTTTGATTATTTTTTTTACAAAAGAATTGAATAAATCACAAGTAATTATGTATATCAGAAAAATATCAATATTAATAAATGATGAAACTTTAAAATATGATATAATGAATAATATTATAAAGCATATAATAAAATATTCATTTACACAACATGCTTTTATAAGTAATTCACTGATTTTTGATAACACGTTTTATTAAAAACTTTTTTAATAAAATTTATTTTATGAAAATATTTATTGTTAAATAAGTATTGAATTATTTTACTTGAATTAATATTTTATTGTTCATTTGTTATGTTAAAACAGCAAATTATTATAATATGAAAATTCTACTTCACAATTAGATAGGTATTATTTATTTATTATTTAATTCAATAATTATAACTTTCAAATTATCTTTTAAAATTTCTGGGTTCAATAAATAATAACTGGCTCTTCAGTATTATAAACTTATGTTCACGTAGTTGCTAGGCAGCACATGTGACAACTTATAAATCTTAATCCCTACGAGTGATTTCAAGTCCATTTTTAGAAATATTTTTTACATTGTTTTATAAACATAGTAATGTAAATATTAGTATTTGATGATAATTAAAAAAATACTCTTATCATATAATAGATGACTTGCTATATTTTAAAAGTTCTGCGTCATTACTTGAAAAACATAATCCTTGTAAGATTACTTTGTTGTCTGTCTGTTTGGTTCTCCGTCCAAATCTGTAAAGTACACTGCAAATCTTCATTTTTAAGCACGTGTTGTTTTTATACAACTGAGTATATTAAAGATGACATTACCCATTTGATTAACATTTTTGTTATTTTCCACACTTACAAACGCGTAAAAAATGAGTTCAATGTTAATCAAATGGGTGATGTCATTTTTAATGAATT